ACACCAGTCAACTACCAGCCATGATTTAAACATTTTGAAACATTCAAGAGAGAGAGAGACAAAGAGAGAGAGAGAGAGCGAAAGAGAGAAAGAGAGAGAGAGAAAGGGAGAGAGAGAAAGAGAGACAGAGACAGAGAGAGAGACAGAGAGAGAGAGAGACAGACAGAGAGAGAAACAAAACTACAGAGACAACGAGATAGAGACAGATTGAGATAAACAGAGAGATAAGGGAGTAAGAAGGTTTGATCTTACCGGAGGGAGGAATCGAGGAGAAAGACATTTGTGAGCAAATATATGGACATGTTTAATACACACTACTGTCACTTTCACTGGCTCTACGCATTTCGCGTATTTTGCTGGCTCCGCCCCTGCCTTGGAGCTCTGCGGCGTCCCGGAGGTCACGGACCTCGCGGTTGTGGCCCTCGGAGTTCTCGGCCACATCCACCCCGCCGCCAAAACCTCCACCCCTACGCTCCCGGCGCATGTTTCGCCTGGCTCCGTCCGCCATGACGGTCGTTGCGATCACCAACACCAGCAGGGTTCTCATGAACATCCCCATAGCTTCACCTGCAGGGGAAATATAAATAATTGGTTTATTGCAAATTCATGCCATTTTGAAACATCCTGCTGGCGCAGCCAAACACCAACCGACCTGGCTTAGAGCGTATATGAATATGTGCCCATGCATATATGCCATCCATGCTGAAGTTTCTACCGTTCAACGTTGGGAGATACAGAGAGAAAGAGCAATGAAAGTGGAATAAAGATACTCACTACCAACGTAGGTACTAGTGAAAATAAAACTAGATATTCTAGTGACTTCTCTAGTTCAATTATTATATACTAAAGACAGATTCAAAAGACTTCCTTCAAAATGCGGTTGCCATGAAATATTTCGTTATACGTAACGTTACATGTAAAAAGAACTCCATAACTTACCAAGTGGTAGCAGGACGTTTCCAGTTGAGGAGACTTATAGAACAACGGTGTGTGTTCAGTGGTATCTGGGTGAGTTGTGTGGTATATCCAACTCCAGGATACATATTTATACATGTCGGCATTGCGACACAATGTATACAAAACAACAGACACCCAGCTGGACGTTATATATTAGTTATTACATATAGTTTGTATTTCTTACACATTGCAATGTGACTGTATAAAATCAATTCATCTATCTGTTTATTTGATGGAAATTATTTTCTCAACAGCGCAACAGGATTCAGATGTTGGCATTCAAGAAAGAAATAGACAGCTCTTTATTTTGTACACTAAGCGATATGCCATTATAAAATCAATGTATTTGTTTATCTATATACAAGAGTCTTCAATAATGGTGTAGCATAATCTAGCTTGGCCTTATGACATTGTCATAAATACAAAGATTGTGCCTGTACACGTAGATTCGTGTGGATGGCGTTCAGCACCAAGGACAGATGAACACCATCTATTATATTTATTGTTTGATTCAGGCAAAGCCCATAGACAACATAGACAACACAAAATACATAAATTCAAAAATACAATGTCTAGGATAAAAAGAATTAGCTATTGTTACTTCACCAGGATTGTCTAGGATAAAAAGAATTAGCTATTGTTACTTCACCAAAGGGATTGTTGCTTTTCGTCTCTCTCTCTCTCTCTCTCTCTCTCTCTCTCTCTCTCTCTCTCTCTCTCTCTCTCTCTCTCTCTCTCTCTCTCTCTCTCTCTCTCTCTCTCTCTCTCTCTCTATCTCTCTCTCTCTGGATCTCTGGATCGCTGGATGGCCTTCAGCACCAAGGACAGATCCACACTTTGCCCGAAGGAAATGTCTATATACCTTCAGGGCAGTTTTTCCAGTTACGCGAGGCATAATTTGAAGCATGTGGGACGACTTGGAATTTGCAAGTCTGTATTGTACAATTGTATTATACATGTAGGTTTATGCACATGGATATGCGTCTTTAAAAATCAATTTATCTATCTGTTTGTATGATAAAGATTATTTTCTTAATGCCGAAACAGGATTCAGATGTTGGCGTTGCAGAAAGAAATTGATAGATCTTTATTTTGTACACTTAGCGAAATGCCATTATAAAATCAATGTGTTTGTTTATCTTTGTGCTTGAGTCTAAATTTTCTAAATGGTGAAGGATTTCTCCCTCTCTCTATCTCTCTACCCTTTCTATCCCTACCTCTCTCTCTCCCTTTCTCTCTCTCTCTCTTTCCCTCTCTCCCTCTCTCTTTCTCTCTCTCCCTCTCCCTGGATCTCTGAATGACGTTCAGCACCAAGGACAGATCCACATATCGCCCAAAGGGAATGTCTTTAGAGAAGTTGTGCCCAATTACACGAGGAATAATTTGAAGCTTGTGGGACGATTTTGTTTTATGCATATTGCTATGAATCTTTAAAAATCAATCCATCTATCTGTTTATATGATTAAGATTATTTCTTTAACAATGAAACAGGTGTTTCTAACGTACCTATTACATTGTATGTGCAAACGTGTTACTTTTTATGTCGTGTTATGAATTTATGGGTAGCTCACATAAAAAAAAACAAATCTTTAACATCATGTATGTGTGTGTTTGTGTTTGTTTGTGTGTGTGTTTGTTTGTGTGTGTGTGTGTGTGTGTGTGTGTGTGTGTGTGTGTGTGTGTGTGTGTGTGTGTGTGTGTGTGTGTGTGTGTGTGAACAGGCTAAAGGCTAAAATGGATTGTCTTTATATTTGGTAGGTGGGTAGGTCTTTATGAGACCTCGAAATGATTAGATTTTGGACCCCCTGGTGGCTTGTTATGGTACTGCACCTGAAGTTCCGGTTTTGATATCTCGTGATCTGGACATGGTATATAGGGTCACTTAATTTGGATGGTAGGTAGCTCTTGGGCTGGGGAAGAAGTGACATGGGTTTGGGCCCCATTGCGTCTTGTTCTATAACTGCAGAATGCATTCGTTGCTGGTATATTCGAAGGAGGATAACTCAAGAACCGATTGAGGGATCATCATGATTTTTGGTATGTGGGTAGCTTCAAGAATGCTTTACATATTAAAATGTTAATAAAAATATCAAAATGTAAATAGTTATGCAAATTGGCTAATGCTTATTAGCATAATTAATGAGGAAATGCTGTAAATCTGCTACGTTCCATGATATGATAATTCAAACATGTGGCATGTATCATTGTGAAGAAGAGTAAAATTAAGTCAGAGAGTCATTGTGCTCTAGTAGCTACTCAAAAGCGCCCAAGGCATCCAAGATAATTCCAGCTTACCTTATTTGATAAGTCATTTTGAGACATAGACTGGTCAATTTCAGCAAATTTAAGGAATCATTGTCATCCTTAAAACATGAGCGAATTTTCTACTATGTCAACAACTACATGTACATGTATAGTCGGTGATGCTGGAATAACTCTACTGGCCACCTACCACCAGCAATTTGAGCAGGGTGCTGGTGACGTCACATAAAAACACGACAGGTAGAAGAAAAACAAGCACGTCGTCCCCAAGGTCAGTGTCAAAGTTCAGCAGGTAACGCACTCGCTATTGTTCTCGGTCCGCCATATTTACTGTGACTTCAGCAACCAGACAAGCGACTTTGTTTTACGTAATTTTCTGTTGTGAATAACGTATCGTCTGTACTTGATCGATGTAAGGGTTACGTTCTTCACAGAGTATCGCTTTCAGCAGATAGAAGTCTTCAAACGAGCTTCAGTACGACTACAGGTGAGGTATGAGTTAAACTTGGCGTCACAAAAGGGCCGCCATTGTAGGGAAACATTTGAAGACATAATCATGATGTAAACACATGTAGTACATGTAGTAATGCACATACAAAGATAACCACTATTAGCGACGGTTTATACATAACATGTTACCATGCAAAATCTTGTCTTAATTATGTTTTAGCACCTTTTCGTGATTTAGTTGCATGTGTCAAGAGGCTATAGATTTGATCTATGAGCAAAGATGGTACGTGACCGTGACAAAACAAATGACTAGTTCAATTATACATGTGCACGGCGGACGTTTGGTATCTAAAGGTGACGAATCAGTACCTCAGGAGGTATCGGGTTTATTACCGGGGACACATTTTAGATATACGCACGTTTTCAACGAAAAGGTGTACATAGCTACAAAGCATGAACGTGACACAAAGGACCTCCACAGTTGGTTGGGACGGTAAATAGGGAGGATATCGGGTTACCAAAACACCGCGTTCATTATAACGAGAGCCTGTGAATGTGAATTGACTGTAAACATTATGTGAAAGTTGTCTGCTACTTTGCGTGCTTCAAAACTAGTACATGTTATGCTTTGTGTAGTGGAACGTTAACGTTGATGACATTTGACAACGTACGGGAGTTTTAAAAGGGTGTGCTGCTGCTTGTAAATATGACTAAAAGTACAGTGATCTCGACCCCTTAACAACACTAGTTAAGGTTGACTTATCAGTTGATAGTATAGGCTGCGAAACGCTAGCATTGCATGAAATACACTGATAGCTATCACTTTATTATTTTCTTCTAATTTGTGTCGTATTAACAGCTATGGTTAGAATAGCCACCCCCTCTCCTATTACTATGGATAGAATATTTGAAGCATGCACCTCCGTGTCATGATCTAACGTCACGCCCCTTTGGCACGTCCGCATGACTTGTTATTCATTGTTGGTATGAGCAAGCGAGGCAAGGTGCTATTCAACCCACTGTTGGCTGAATACAAACAACAGCAAAGGTTGCGAATTGAACAAGCGCGGCGGTTACAGATACTGACAGAGAAAAAAGTCATTGTGTGTTTTAACTAGGATATACGGGAGGGTGCAGCGCAAATATTTCCACATCGGATGCCTTGTTTTGGAGGTAGAAAATTGTTTTATCCCACGTGACTGTGGCATTCGTGTGGTCCGCCATTTTAGTTAGTCAAACCTAGCAGCATACAAGTAAATTTCACATAAATAATAGTTTTTAAGTTAGCCAGTGCTGCCCTTTGTGTTTATACTAAAGGTCTGTTGCTTCGTTTCAGAATGGCAACTCCAGTGCGAAGATCTAGAGTGACAGAGGCTGACAGACGCCATTTTGATTTCGTGCAAATGTTACAGCGTATATCTGATGAGCTGTCAAAAAGAGAAACGAAACTTTTAAAGTTGTATTGTCTTCGCCAAATTCCAAAAGGAAAGGCAGAAAAGCTCAAAGAGGCTGTTGAAATTTTCCACAAGCTGATAGAGTTGGACAAGATAGACCAGGAGAACTTGGACTTTCTTGAAGAGATCTTGGAAAGAATGGGGCGGCCAGACCTGGTGAGGGACGTTCTGAGGCCGTTCCAACCGCCTGACCGAGAGATTCCGGAAAACCCCGAACTAGAACCGGGAACAAGCACTGGCCGTGCAAGCGCAGATGGTAAGTAAAAGCAATGTCTTTGGCGACGCCTCAATGGCAAAGAAACCTTTACGTCATAAAGTATTATGTAGTCCTTATTTCTTGTTACAAAAGTGTAATCCGAAGAAACAAGCAATTTAGAATTTAAAGGCTTTGGATTACTTTGCTAAAAGTTACGGGTATTCTTTCTTGTTTTTTTCCCTTATAATTAAAGTGACAGAAGATTTTAAACTTTTCTTTTTCAAACTTCCAGTAACTGCCGCATCTGACGCCTTCTTGGTCATTCACGGCCAAAGACACATGATCCAGGAAACCGTAGATCGACATAGACACAACCTAGCGTCGCTTTGTGGCACAAGGAGGTCACAGGTCAAGTTCAGAGGATACAGGAAAGGCAGAAGCATCCTGGTGCACTACAGCATACCGCGAGAGAGCACAGCAGTGCTGAGGCTCATGGCGAGTTACTCCGACCCACGACTTGTATTCATGGGCGTCAAGTCACTGCAGATCGATTCTGGACCACCAATCCAAGTCATACACGGGGCGGTTTTCAACGGTATGTTAAATCGTACTTCAGTAGTCGTCAACACATTCATTTGAGCATAGATACATCTTATAGACAAAAAGACCATAAACATGAAATTATAGAAGTCAATTCACAATCCACGAACGCTGAATTTCTACGTCCGATGCTTCTTCAGTTACTAACTCCTCTATCCAGACGTTTATCTGATTTTATTTCACAAATTTTGTATAGTTATAAAATGAAACTGAATCAAACAACAAAATCTTTTTGCATCACAGATATCAAGAGACAGCAAACCGTCGATGACATCGAGGTGGGCTGCAGTACCCGGACCAAGCAGCAGAGGACGCCCAGAAACTGGACCCGCCTATCCGCTCTGAACCTGTTCTCGGACACCCTGCCCCTCCATCTGCAGATAGCCGAGAGTCTGGAGTACCAGGGCTTCTCCTATAGCCTGGTCCAGGCTCTGGTGCAGAAGTACCAGCTCAGAGAACAACAGGTGAAGAAGAAGGATCAGCTAAGAGAACAAGAGATGAAGCAGCTCATCCAAAAGGCAGAAGTATATTCCAACACGATCATGACCTTGCGCTCCAAGCTGACGATTTCAGAGAACAGGTTGAAGGAATCCTTTGAGGCGAACGCAGTTCTTGAAAAGAAGCTCCGGCAGGCCCGTGAATTCGCAGAGAAAGCTGCTAAGACGGTCACCTCTCGCATGACGGAGTACAGGGGAGAGAAGCCTCCTGGCGGCTGGTCACAGGTCGATGTAGCGCCACAGACACACCTAGCGGCTCACGAGGGAGCTACAGGGGAGGAAGTAGATTCGGGTGAAACCGCAAGTGAAGAATCGACTGCAAAGGACGCAGACAGGAGCATGGAAAAAGAGGAGGACAAACTTTCGACGCAACAAACCTGGGAAAAGCTACCCACTATAGCAGGGGCAGAGGGAGCGCCACCTCGCACCACTGGAGACTTCACACAGGGTAAGATCACTTACAGTCGGTGGGGATTAGAACCCGGGAAAATTCTGTCCCCACGTGGCGTTGTGGTGTCGCCTAGTAAAGAGATATTCGTGACCGATGGACTCAACAGACGAGTCCAAGTCCTCACCACAGAGGGGGTTTACCTTCGCCACTTCCCAACAGTCGTACCGGGTACAGAGGACAAGGACATGGAGCCACATGATGCTTCTATGGACGGTAACGGCACACTGTGGGTAGTGGGCCGTGGTCAATCAGCCGAGCACGTTGTACAATACAGCACTGACGGGACCGCCTTGACACAGTTTCACCTTCGGATGAACAGGTATTACCGCGGGATTGCGATGGACATGCGCAATAACCACATCCTGGTGACTGATGCAACCCGTGGTGAAGTTGAGGTGTTCCGTCCGGACGGCTCTCTGGTGCTGAGGTTCGGAGATCCTGAGGGTGGGATGAGAAGCCCGCGGTACATCACTGTGGACGGGGAAGGGAACATTCTTGTGTCGGACTGCTCCACTCAATCTGTCTACACGTTTGACGAGTCTGGGAAGTTCCTCCTGAAGTTTGGAGGTGAGGGAAGTGATGAAGGTCAACTACAGGTTCCCCGCGGTATATGTACAGACAGCTCGGGTCATATCATCGTGGCGGACCGAGGAAACAAGACGGTACAGATGTTCACACGTCACGGCGAGTATGTCCGGACCATTGAGACTGGGTTTAAGTCAGAAGGTGTGGCAGTGGGACCGGAAGGGCAGCTGGTAGTGACTGATATGAATAGCCAGTTTCTTTCCGGTTATCTCTGAATTGAATTTGAATGCTTTCATAAATTATCAATTTTTGCACTGTTTTTTTTTTCTCTAAACAGAAACAGTAACAATGGGTTACTTTTTTCTCTACACAGAAACAGTAACAATGGGTAGTTACATGTGCCACGCGACTGTTGTCATGGTCACTGGTCCTGTAGCAGACCCCCTATGGTCTTGAATTACATTATGTGCTGGAGAGGCTGGTCACCATGAATGTGTTTGAACAGTTTTACACCTGTATTATTTGTTTGAAATGTACGTTTAGTGTACATATAATTATCTGTACTAAGCTGTCAACAATCCAATCTATTATTAGTGTTTATGGTCAATCAATCTTGAGTAAATAGTGTTCTAAATCTATTTTATGCTCTGTTATCATCATTTTCTGGGAATTTCTTGACGTTCAGTTCCCTTGAACCTCGCTAGGTGGCATTAGGCCATTGCCGACTTGCTGGGCTCCGGTGAAATCGACAAGGCGAGGTTTATATTCTGTGGAAACACAAAGACTGGTTATCATTCAACTGTCCAACTAGTTGACAAAATTCACAAACTCATTGATACAAAAATACAACAAAACACACAATTTTAGTTGTTGGGAATCAGCAATACCTCCGCCGCCCTAGCCCTCCCAAGGGGGAACCTCAGCTATGTCTGGGTCCGGAGCTACTCCGGGGTGGTGGTGGGGCTGGGGGTGGCATGTCAGGTGCTGCACGGCGTTCCCGGAGTCCTGGGGGTGGAGGTGGGGATTGTGGTCGGGGTGGCATGTCAGGTGCTGCACGGCGTTCCCGAAGTCCGGGGGGTGGGGGTGGAGGCGGGGGTGCCCAAACACCGTCCCACATCACGGCCACCCAGGCGGTGAACACCAGCAGGAGTTTCACGCATCCCTTCATCTTCTCACCTACACGGGCAAAGAAATTAAATCAAACTTTATTGCACAACAATTGTAGCAGGTACAATGTATGGTAAGCTCTTTAGAAGTACTACATATTAAACTGATATCTACTCTAAATACTCTTCTCTAGTTCTATATATCAAGACTAACAAACACTTCAATATTTCATATACATGTAAGTAATACAAATTACATGGAACACGGACTACATAATAATGCACAGGAGTTCTGTGTAACTACAGAAATGTGAATAAACGTTAACCATCTCACAAGACTATTTTACCACTTTTTGTCGTCGTTTTAGCAAAAGTCGGCTTCTTCGCCCAACGGTCTATTCTATCTGGACGTTTGTTGTATCTATGTCAAATTTAAACGGATAACAAGTATTCATTATAAAGATTCTCGGTTATAGCCAGCCTGATTTCATATATAGAACAGTGAAAGTAGGTAATAAAAGCCGAAAAAGCATTGCCACATGAAAGTGAAGAAAATGTCTTACCTCTGTAGGAGCTCAAAGAACCTCGACAAGTAGACACTTAAGTTGTCAATGTTAAGTGGATTCTGATGTTGGAAATGTCCGTATGGGTCTTTATTTTGAACACAGTGTTCCACGCCACTTTGAAATCAATGTGTTTGTTTATGTTTATCTTGTAAGTTATATGTCAGGCTTTAGACTAGAACAAGACAGACAAGTGACAACACACACTGTCACGCAGGCCTAATCTCCAAGCAGATGTAGTGTCAGTCTCAGTGTTATACTGCATGGGGGTGTTTTTACGGTATTTGGTATACTGGGGCGTGTGTTACGGTACTTGAAACGTACACCATTTTTGTAGTGTGCCTTTTTTTTACTCTTTCAACTATTTTTCGCACACGAAAGCCGTGTGATAGAATAAAACAGTGGTCGCAGATAAGGCAGTCTTTATTTTGCAAGGTGCACATTACACAACCATTTTTCTAAAAGAAAGAACCACAAACAAAATGGTTAAACATTTTAAATGTTTATTTATTTATCTTCTCAACTGTACATATGCGATCAGTTATTGTGACTAACATTGCTTTATGTGAGTTTTATGTCGACACAGTTTCTCTTTGTAAATGTGTATAATGCAAAATCGCACATCATTCGGCCAGTTTTACCTTTGTGTTACTTGGTTAAAATTTGCTTTTAGTGTGTTAATTTATTAAGCTGTCAAAATCAAATCTACTACGTCCAGAAGCGTTACTAGTTAATCAATCTTGAGTAAATAGTGTCTAGTTTTTGCTCTACTAGGCCACACCGACTTAATTTTATGGATGACATCCGCGCGCGCATTGATTTTTGCCTGTTCTAAAGAAAAAAGATAGTTGATGACAATACGGAGCCGGTTGTAACTCTGGAGGACGGGCTACGAAACCTCCACGACTCAAGAACTCAGTACATACGTACAGTGCCGATTCACAAAAGCCAGCATGTGCCGGCTTGTCGTATACTTCTCTATTTACTGGCGTAAATTTACGATACCAGTTTTCTATTCCTGTGGTTTAGTAGCATTTTTATTTTTTGCGGAATCTTTTTTATTCGCCCGACGCACTATTTGGGGGTCTTTGGGCGCCGGCGTGGGGGTTGAGCCACACTCCAGCCGGCGGGGTCCGGGGCTGCACGGCGTTCCCGTAGACCGCCTGATGGTGCTCCGGGTGGGCGCTGTTGTGGCGGTTGAGCCACACCCCAGTCGGCGGGGTCCGGGGCCGCGCGGCGTTCCCGTAGACCGCTTGATGGGGCTCCGGGTGGGCGCTGTTCTGGGGGTTGAGCCACACCCCAGCCGGCGATGAACACCAGCAGGAGTTTCACACAGCCCTTCATCTTGTCACCTACACGGGCAGAGAAATAGGAAGAATACACCATGTTACTGGGCAGTTTCACCGCTTTTTCTCGACGTTTTAGTTACAACAAAGTACAGAACGTTTATTGCAAATTCCTGTCCGAGAGCTAATTGATAAAAGGACATTGAAAGGACATTGAAACAGATTACAGAATGTACATTTGAGTTTGGGTAGTGTAGTGAATGTGTGACAGGGGCTTAACGAAAACACGAGAGCCCGAAGTACGTTCTTTTAAAAGACATCATTCCTGTGGGAGACCTTTCTTTGTGTCTCAAACGCGCTAAGAGCAGAACAGTGTCAACATAAGACAGCTCTAACATGTCTCAAAGAAAGACCTAAAATATGCACTGTAAATTTCCACCTGTAGGAGATCGTAGAGATTATGTAATAGATCTGTCTGAATGTCACCAATTGTTCTTGTAGGTGAACCATCTAATGCCAAATTCCACCACAAACATGGGACACGACACGTGAGGTCATTGTACACCACAACTTGCTTCCTGATCAGCGAAGTGAATCTGACTGTGTTGTGGGCTTTTCAGTGGTACAGTTTCATGTTTTCGTGCATTTGAAAACAGATAGAGTGACTTTGTAGAGAGACCAATCATCTCCAGGCTACCATGTCGTTAGGACCAAGGTACTTTGTCCAAGTACGTCATAGTTGGCTGAACTTCAACGTACGTACCTAACAACTCCAGTTTATGTTGTAACACTGAATACGGTATAAAACTTCTCAAGTAACTCAAAAGAGGGCCCCAAAATTGGAAGAGTACATGTAACTATCTACTTTAGAACGAAAAATTAAACTTCGAGCACTCTGGAAGATTTGACCAATCTCAATAATGTTATGCTAGGTATTGGTGCGCCAGCCACTTTCATTTTATGTTAATGCTATACTTTATGTCATCCTTATGTTTACATTTGTATATGTATCAGCTAGATCTATCCTACCTGCTCAAGATTCCATATTTTGTTTGCGATAGTCTAATACATTAATGTGCTTTCGTGACTTTTGCCTTCAGCTTAAATTTCTCAAGTAGGGTTCTTCTTGCACAAAGTCCAATCCAGTCTCGTATGTATGTATTTAACGTTATGTATGTAAACCTTTGCATGTAAATGTATCTATATATGTGTGCATTTATTGTTTGATAAAATTTCCTTAAAGTCCCCTTTGGAATTCTTTTAAACAAGTTTCTTTACGTCTTTGGAGGATTTACCTTCAACAGTTAGGTAGAGAACAAGTTATATATGTCCAGACTTCTTCAGAAAGAGGATATATCCTCAACGTATTTTATAAAAACGATTTATCCTCAACTTTTGTCATGACGAGGATTTATCCTTAATATTTCTAGGAAGAGGATATGTCCCCAACTATTGGCATTAAAAGGATATATCACTTTTTTCTACATCTATAGGTTACTGAACAATGCCCTCACGGGCTTCACGTTCAGGTGCACGACATATGCGGCCAGGTGGAGTGCTGGTGCTCTTAAAAAAGATCAAAAAAAGTTTTCTTCAGAAAGAGCATCAAAACTCAACTTAAAGTCAGGATATAGTGGACGGATCGGAAAGATCGCCGATTGTACTCACCAATGGTCCGTTGCTACTCCAGGCGGCAGGTGTGGGCAGTACGGTGTGGTCTGTCCTGTGGTTCCCAGCAGGAATGAGGGTGAGGGACACAGAGTTAGAATAAGTCGAAGTCTAGGACGCTACAGAAACTGATTGATTGACATTGACATTATGTCCATGCTAACATGTGATTGGATGCCTAACGCACCTGCGTCATAGCCTGTCACCGGACCCCGTCAGGACAATAAAGACGCCTAGCCTCCGTAGCAGGCTTTTTTCTCTTCGGCTGTTTTCTGATTAGCCCAGTTCAAAAAACGGTGGTAATTCAACCAGGCCGGCTATGTTGTCTATATGCAATCAGAAAATAGCACATAAAAGATCCCAAAGACCCCAGTTTTTGTCATGCATGCTATGGAGGCTAAAAGACGCCATGCTGTAGGCAATGTTGAAAAGCACCACGCCAGACTCCGCCAAATCAAAGGAGGGTCACTCTTGAAGGCAGTTGGACAAGCGTCAGTTCCTCATGTTGTGCCTCATTTGTTTGGGCTGGAGAGCTGTAGTATATGTTCACAACGCTTGGTTGTACTGCTAAGAAGCACGGTGTCTATTAAAGCCCCTGCCACACATTCAGAAACCCGAACCCCGAACATATGATTATGAGTCAAAACCAATATGTTTGAGTTTGGGGTATGGTCTATAAAACAACTAAAAAAAATAAAGTTGTTCTGTTTTTTTGGGTTTTTTTTCGCATGTGACGCCCTCTTATATGGCGCCATGCGGTGACCAACTGAACTGCAGCCGGCTCACCCTGGAAAGCAGTAATATTTCCAACAAGATCAAATATTTCAATAATTGCCATGTTGTCACATTTCATCTGTTGTCAGGGTCCATAGCTTTGATCCGAACGCTACTTAAGTGTCGCATGCATATTTTCAAGTTTCAAGTTTATTTATTTCACCAGGGAATACCTCAGATCCATTGATCTGCTTTTCAGGTATCCCTGGGCACACATTAAAACATACAATTTCATAAGAATACAAATTGGATGACTTTTGACCTGGACACGCAGCAGTATATGTTACGTTTAAACAACATCGCACGAAAGATGGTTCTGTGTGAAGACAAAAATTGTTCACGCGTTTTCAAACGTGTGAGTAACTACGTACACTACGCCCACAAGATAGTTTCACAAATCATCTTCATAAACGCCAAGAGCGTCTTGGGCTGGCAAATATCAGAAATAATCTTTTAATTGCCTTTTACACATTAAGAAAGCTGGTGCATAACCAATACACCCACAAGTTGTTTTACATACATTTTAGTGTTAAAGATGAGGTTGAGTTGACAAATATCACCAGAAATTCTTCAAAGACTATAATCTTTTGTCCCAACGTCACGTTATTTACGTACAAGGTTCTGACGATTCCCTTTAAAGGCACTCAAAGCGATTTCAAGGCAGCAAAACTGGCTTTTCAAAGTCAATTTCCTGTTTTTTTTTTACGTAGTAAGTTGAATTATTCCAAAGCATACTGATATCTGTGAGGCATTGCGATGTCGTTGACGGAAATAGTTGCTAGTTTCGTATCGCAGGCAGATTTTAGCTTTTTATTGTTGGTACCAAAAATAAAGAAACACTTCACGTAGCTTGTATCTGGGCTATTTCAAAACGCTGAAATGATGTCGAAAATGTGCTAAGAAATGACAATAAATGTCAATATGAGACAGAATATTGATTTTGTCTTGCCGCCCCGAAATTGCATTAGGCCATGTTGATTTGATTATATGAATTTTCAGCCGTTTAAAAAAAAGGTTTTCAACCATACTGTAAATCGTACAAAACAGTTGCAAAATGAGCAAATATATACCGTAAGTTGTAAAAAAAACATTGGAAAACGATACCGATGTCTTAGAATGCCAAAATCAAACGAAAAAGACAAAAGTGTAAAGACATGAATTTGAAGCCTATATTATTCGCAAAGCCATACTCTGTGTCATTTGTTCAACCTTCAAAACCACGTAGATTTCATAATGAAAGCAACTTTTTGGGGGGCCGAACTCTTTTTTATTCGCACGCTCGCGTCAGTTTTGGGGTTCCTAGAGGATGTCATCCATATAATCAAATCAACATGGCCTTAGATACGTCAGCCCAAAGTCAAAGGATAAGAAAACAGATCATAACAGATGACAGATCCATCTGCTTATTCTGAAATGTCAAATGTACTTCAAGTGCGTAATCAAACAAACTGCACTCAACCTTGGGATTGACGGTTCTTTCATAGCTGTTTATAGCTTTGAGAGGGCGAATCCGTTTGATCTCTTCCTATATCTTCTAAATCATCTAAAAGCAAGAAAACAAACATGTTAAAAGTTATTCACCATTATGAGGACTTAAGGTAAAAGAGGGTAGGATAATGTATAATGCTAACGTTTACTGCGGGCTTTCTTGCATTTGTCTAGCGTCCTGCAAGTGGAAAGACTGAACTGCGGACGTACGTGTACAGTCTACGTGTACAGCCTTCTGCACTTTAAAACACGATATTCAGCTAGTATGTTTATCTATTCATGTTGTTTCTGTACGTGTCTTCGGCAACGTGTCCTATTTATCGTGAATAGTAAAGTAAAATTGCACATGTCGAGTCTTTTTTCGCGTAAAACTGTTCGTATCAGACGTACGTGTACAGTCCAGCGAGTGTTCTGCACTTTGAAAAACGACATTCTGCTAATATGTTCATCTATTCATGTTATTTGGGGTCGTGTGGCGCAACGGCAGCGTGCGCGACGCGGAATCAAGAGGTCCCGGGTTCGAGTCCTGACATGCCACCGATCTTGTGCCCTTGGGAAAGGCACTTAACACGACTTTCCCAACTAGACTCAAGTGAAAATGAGTATTGTCTGTCCAGTATTCGTTTCTATGTGCGGGACCCAACACCAGCAACAGCTGCCTCTGTTCCGCGTGTATTGCATTGTTGCCATTCCAATAAATCAAATCAAATCATTTCTGTGCGTGTCTTCATAACCGTATTCTATATATCGTGAAAGGAACAAAATAATGAAGTAAAATTGCTCGTAGGCTAAAATTGTTCGTATTAGTCGCATGAATTCAATGCGGTTGTGTCGTTTGGTAAAATCTCAGGAAATGCCAGTCAACAATTCTTGATTGATCGTTTTAATTATATCCAGATTATGAAGATAACTGTGTAATTCACATCCGGCGTGGATTAAATCATATCTTATCCATGATTTTATGCAGTTCCTCCAGGACTCTAGACAGTGTGTGACGCGTTTTGCAGGCACGGTACCCAATTAAAGGACTACAGTACAAAGTATCGGAAGGAATACAGTTACATGTATATAATTACATTTGTCGACACTGCAACTATACAGGCAGCGTGTGTAGTTCAAGGCCGGTTAGTTGTACTCTCCAAGCAGAGGTGAGAGGGAGAGAACGTAGGATATTCCGACATGGCTAGCTAAGG